AAGGAGATCAGATATTGCCCATGCTCTCATAAATATTAAGCATGTGCGAACAAATTAATGTGGCAGCCAAGCCAGGAGGCGGAAGACGATGCTTGGGCATTGAATTGGGATTACTCCGATAAAATTACACACGGGAGCAAACATTAGTTATTCCTCATTTATATTTTAAGAGCACTGATTTTTAGGTCTCATAAGTTGGGTTTGGACGGAAAGCTGCGCAGGTATGGGGTAAAAACTTCTCGGCATCTGCTTTGCATCATTCCCTTGGTGCAAATTTCCACGACGCGACCTTTGACTCGCGAAAAAATAATGCTGGGCTTGGGTTTTAAAAGTTTGGGGAATTGCGAATCCGTAAAGCAGAATTTATACGGCAGTTATTAGAGTCTGAAATTATATTTGTAGATGATGCACAGGGAGGTGCCATGCAATCTCCTGAGACCACCAACTCTAATAACCTCTCCAAAAACTGCACAGGCGTTTACAGCCGTTATTAGAGAGACGACTATATTACTCCATGCATACTATTACTCGCTGACTAGTGACTGACTATACTGACTGATTCCTGGCATTTGCAGCGTTTTCTTTACTACAAAACAAACAAAACAATCAGCTTGGCAAATTTGTTAGTTTTACAAGTTTATTTGCTTAAGGTTGATGATTGAGCTATGAACATGGTTAGGTCAAACAACGCGTGCCTCTGTGATTATGCGCTCCGGAGCTCAAGATCTCTGGGCAGAGATGCTCTCTCATGATATAATTGCATTTAAGTAATTAAGAAAAGTCAATGGTGCTCGTAATACTGCGAACTAATTTTAGATTTAGTGATAGACGATCGATCTATGAGCACATTTAATATATTTTTATGTTTTCCAAGAAATTGTGAAATGATGAGAGTATTTAAAGAGATATCTGCGTCCGAGACGACTTGGTGAGGTACATTCATAATATATGTAAATAGTGGTGGATGGCAAGTACAGGTCCAACTAGTCCACGTATTAGTCGGGTTATTCACATCAACGAGAACAGTTTACTTCCGAATTCATGGCACAAATGTTCCTTCTCCGTGATTCTCTTCACGAGAACTTTTCTCGTACATGTACATGTCGGCGTTGAGACGGATGCAGTTTTATGTACCACCGATGTTCGTTCGTGGTGTTTACTTGAAACAATCTTTGCCAGATTTTAAACTTGAAATGAGAAATTGCCCGTAGAGCCCAAAGTCAAGAACACATCGGGGCTCGAATTGCTGAATTGTAAATTATGACTTGCGGCAAATCATCTGCAGCAAAAGGATGCGAAGATTAATTTACAGGCAGAAATTATAATTGTATTACCAATAAATTATTGAGGAGTCACGACATGGTGATATAATTCGCATCATCATGACTTTTACTCTGCTATTGCGTTCTCCTTTGCTAGCTCGTTCGTCTGGCTGGACTGGAACAACTGGATTCGTAATTGTAAATCCAGACTGAGAGATTGTAAATTATGTGCACATTTGCCCTTTCTGAGAACTCATCCACTTTGCAACTCTCTGATCTGAAATATTTAGCAGAGTTGTTGGCCGACTGGCTACGTAAAAATCAGATCAACATGACAGCAAGTCGTTTATAGTGCATTTTATTAAATTTTTGTTAAATGGCTGACCAACATGGTGAGGTATCATCGGATCACGACTGAAATACAACTTTTCAGGTCAGTATATTCTCAGTCAGTGTGCAGTTAATTCCCAGTCACTCGGTCTGTCTGATTATATCAGATCTTGTTCAGTTGACAATGATTGTCCTGTTGTTCTTTCGTCAATGTTAAAAATGCAGTGCGGTCTTAATTAAATCCAAAAGTCGAATTTGCACAGACGACCGAGCCAGAACAGAGATCAAACCTTTTTATTTCATGCATGTGACAAAAATGATGAACGACATGGTACAAGTTTTGCAGTGATTTTTTTTGAGACGTCAAAGTGGACAGAACATCAATAAAACAAACGGACCACAGCGTCTTACACATTGTTGTGCTTGTCCATTATCTGATTGGTTGGTGATTATTAAGAAGTCTTGAGCTTTGCTCCAATCTGCCTGGTTCTTGGGTCATGATGTGAATATTAACTGTCTAATTAGTGGAGGAACAGTGTCCAAATCCTACTTGGTTGCCCTCCTGTAATGTCTATAGTCTTTATGCAAATTGATTTTGCAAATTCAATGTAATTATCAATAATTCAAGCGAGTAAGCAAACAATAAAAAACCACAAAGACAGCGACGTTTACTTAATTGCTTGAACAAAACCATTTATTTTCACATGTTGATGGGCCAGAGCGTGTTATTTCATCAATTCAACGCGCTCTCAAATTATTATCAAAACTAATAATTTCTCCAACATCAATAGGTATTCGTCTCCTGCATTAATTTTGCCACTGCCACGTCTTCCTCCAATAATCCCGTCCACTCGCGTGTGGTTAGCCCTGAATGGCAATTGGCAATAATAATAAATCAATCTCAGACACAGATTTGTGATTTGTCTTCTTCTTCGTTGTGTATACAGCGCACAGATTTTTTTTTTGATTTTACAATGCAACACGAACAAACTAGTAACAATATCAAAATCTACGTACAAGGTCTCTACGCACTTGAGAATACCTCCGGAATTCAATTCAATTGAATTATACTTATTCACAATCGCTTCTATTCCGTACCTTTTACTGCTTATGTAATGAAGGGCAATTAGCATATATTTATATTTTATGAGCCTGACTTTACTGTTTGACTCAGTTTACTCGCAATTAAAATATTACACAAAAAATACTTATCTGAAAGTCATAAAATCAGAAACTTTATGAGAGGTCAAGGAGAGTACGATTTATCAGGTTTCTTGTTCTGATTCTAAACTTAAGACAGAATAAATTACTTACTATGAAGGTGAATCAATTTTGGGCCTGAACTCCAAGATAAATTGAACTAATCTAAACTTTCCAGGTCGTTTTACAAACGATTGATCTCTCTTTCGAATATTGATCACGTCACATTCAGCAGCAATTATTTAGTTATGCATGTTAGATAATGTTACTTTCGAGCATATTCTAACTACACGACATCAAATTTCACAAGTAGAAATATTTAATACATCTGAGCAAATTTCATAGCTAAAGTTCATCTGTATAAATGTGTCACCGGGGGTGGTGGTCATTTACGGAATGCGAGAGGTCGGCTGGAACATTCGCAACAGTGCACGATTTCATGGTCGACTAGCCTCCAGGCGGCCCTGAGTTCGACAGGAAGTAGATTGTTGTGCTCCTCAAAGGTGGCCGAATCGGAGAGGGCGAAGCGTTTGAGAACTTTAAGCTTGTAGGTCTGGGGAAGGCAGTGGTAGACGCCGTTGGCACATCTCAATGAGTTACACACTGCCGTCCTCACGTGTCGTGGATAATGATCACCTCCCAAATCTGTCCACGTGAAGCTGGTTTCACAGGCCCAGTAATTTGCCGCGTTGGATGGGTGGCTCTTCTTTAAGCGATGACGATCTTGGTTTTCTTTCTCCTGCTTTGCCTTCAATTCTTCCCCAGTCGTAGCAACGTCCGAACGTTTCAAGGTTGGACCAATAAGATTTCGAGCTAATAAAGATATGCAGTAGGCGGTTAAGGGTGAAAAGGAAGTATAAAAACCCATATCGTGCGATGGGAGAGGAGAAAAACTTGAAGGTAATATTGGCAAGATTGTCTTACCGTTTGGCGGAGGCTCGTGAAATTGCTCCGTTCCGCAATTTGAGTGAGTGACCCCCCTTCGTTTTTCCCTCGAGCCAGGTTTGCGATACTCTTGAGAAGGTTTCTTGTAAAGTGATGGGGAAAGATTGCTGTTCCCATTTACTTTAAGCTCCCACGCGGCCTCGGAGTCCGAAAACCTGGAGTCCGCACTGAGGTCGAGCGGTTCAGGTGCCATGAGTGAGTTCGAAACTACTTCTTCCTCAGAAGGGTTTGGGGCATAAATGTATCCTTCGTGGAAAATGGGCTCCTCTGCATCGTAATAGTTAGCGCCGGACGAAGGGGAGCCTGCTGCCAAATTCAGATGCAGTGGAATCCACAATGAAGCCTGAAATATTAGTCAAGTCTCATCGTCACCGCCTTTCTTATCATAATTATTATTATCTTGTGAATAGTGCTTGTTACAATTTTGGTCATAACTTCACAAGTGGCCAACTTACCATCCAACACAGAAAAATGAAACTTTTACATTTTACCGACATGGTTCTAATGATCGGCAATTTTGATGCTGAATGATTCAGGGACATTTCTGTCCATACTTGGTCTTACTGACCCCTTAATCTTGTTTCGAAATGGTCAGAGTAGCGAACCTCTCAGCGACTTGGTTCCTTTGGTTCTAGTCGCCCTGTTAGCACCACGTTTAGGTTTTTATACACGCTGAGACAATGGAATCCTCATTCGCATCTACGTAGGAAGCCTGTAATTCCAGTGAAACTGAAACCATCAAACCGTGCTGGCATGTACATAATGTCTCAAATCTCTGCAATGTGGGGAAACAATGGAATGGGAATAGAGCTCGACCTTTCATAATATTTTCACTTACATTTCACAGTAAATTCACATTTTTTTTATTCAACACTTTCACTCATGGAACAAAAAGATTTTCTTGAGGTAGAGCAGCTCAGCCCCCACTTTTAGTGCCAATCTCATGTCTCATCACTGATGACAGACAGAAGGTGGAGGACGGAGGAGAATGCCCATTAGCAGATGAGCACATGACGAGTGACACATTGTCCAATATATTTTTATCCTGATGACTTTATGCTCAGAATTAAATGAGTAACATAAAATATTACACGAGTTTGGCACATTGTCGTAAAATAATAAAGAAAATTCGTTTCCTGGAAAATGACCACGACGACTTTGCCCATTAGCCATCCAACCGACCGAGGTCATTTGAGACAATGGCAAAAAAGATGTATGATGACGTCAAATGGAGACAAATGTCGGATGAAAATTTCGAATCAGTAGTTTTAGACATACTTTTATTTCAATTCAACAAAAAGGCACAACCCGCTGTCTACGAAACAATTTTAAACCAACACTACCACCATCGACTATACATACGTGGACCAGATTTATTATGCAAGAAACAGGTTTGCGATGCTGCATATGTAGGGACGAGACGACCGTTGAATTTCTTTCGGGTTGTTGACGAGATGTCCATTTTGATTCTGGTCAGTTTCAGACATTATTATTACACATTTACTTTCTGAGATCACATGTCTGTAGTCCGGTTCTGAAAAATCAACTAGAGATACTTTCGCTCAAATTGTCATAATAATTACAGTCTAAATCAGTTTACATTCGGCATCTTTGTGCTACTTTACACAATTATAGATTTCTATTAATACACATATTTACCTCTTCTGATCTCCAGCATCTCCAGATTTTTGTCACTTTACCCCCAAAATATTTACATAAATATACACACATAAATTTGTATGTATGTGAACTCATCAGTCCCCAATGAAACGGGGTCATCAAGCTAACATAACCACCAACTACGCTTAAGCATTATGAAACTAAATGTTGTGATTGGGTTTTATCCAGAGGAATTACTCGCTAGTAAATAGTACTGGAGAGGATAATAAGTATTAGCTGTTATTTGTAATCGTCATGCGTGAATTTACTGAAAGTGAGTACAATTTTGTTAACTATTTTCGATTAGTCATATAATATGTATATTTCGGCTTTCAATAAATATTTCTCTCTATTTAGCTCATTAATTTTATTATTGATTGGCTTTGAGGTTGAGTAGAGCTGTGAGTGCATATCATTCAATGCTACATACACAACGAGGAGTCATGAATTGGTGTCAATTTTCTACTTCAAACTGAAGTGATGTCCAATTTTACGACATCATTACCTAATTTATCTCAATTAGCAATGAATTGGGAGTCAAGAAGACTTTATAGTTCAGTACTTTAATTCAATGCATGCTCTATTTGTAAGACGGGACACAGTTTTATATCACGATACGATAAACAAGTGTGACTTTTATTTCAGCAAATGTGTCGAAGGCGACACATTATTCACATCTTTCCGACCTCGTTTAATTGGCCTCTAATTATTTTTATTGCAATTTCATGGGTGCTGGAACGGTGAAAATAGACCTCTACCTACTAACTGATTATCTTTCCAGCATCAATGGCACTACGCGCTGGAGAACAGAATTCCTCAAAATACGTCACACGCATAAATATGTCGGATTTGGTAGTGTCTTTTTCCAAGTTGCTTTGGCAGTTGTTACACGTTCCTACGTCATACAATTAGGAATCGTAGATCTGCATATACCAGTGCATCGACAGTATTCGCTTCACACGACTCATGCCTAACTAAATGTGCACTTTTCCACTCATTAAGCTAAAAAAGCACCACAGTACTCATTGTCAGTTCATTTGATGCAAATGCACTCCTCTACTTTTCTTTGCATACTTATCTGTACTTGCTACTTAAATGGTTGCTTGTTTGCATGGCTCAAGTAGGATATTTATGCAGCTTGACCATGAAATCCTCAGTAAACGTACTTTTATACATGAATGGCCGACACACAGAATGATGAAACTAACTTAGTTTTACAGAGAAGATTTTTCGTAATTTTGTATCAGACAGACAATGAAGAGTATCGGAATAAAAATTGTTCTGCCAGCAGTAGTCGTAATATTGTTTGAACGAGTCGTTCGATTATTATATTACTTTAGCATACTTACATTTACACGAAATTGGGGATATAATGCTTACAAGTTTAAATAAGAAATAACACGTGATGATCCTGTAATGACAAAAATGTGATACAGTAAAAGAACAAGAAACAAATGAGAATTTTGACGTCATTGCATCAGATGTGTTGTGATCAATGCTGGAGAGAAAGTTGGCGTTCACACAACCGTTTCCGATTTGATGTTTGTCTTGGAGTTGGACGCTGAGCTATTGATGATCTGCGTAGCATCAGAAATTACATATCACGAATAAGTTTCTCGTCCATAGGATAAATCAGTAATAGCGAAAACACCAGAAATTACTTAAACCCGATTTTCATGTTACAAATTCTACTCTATAAATTTTGTTAGTAAATCAGACTAATAAGTAAACAAGGACATTGTCTTAAGGCCCTCCACATCAGAGGTATGTACCGAATTAATGTAGTAATGAGCAGGTGTAAAAAAAGTATATAGCTGAGCATCTAAATCTATACATTGATTCATTCGCCCTAAAGACAACAATCATGAAGAAACTTGGTAAAAGCTACAACAATGGGTTTCCGTTCCGGTTTTTGTTCCAGGCTTATCAAGGTTTTCAGCAACGGAGCATCTTCACCATTCCAAATGCATGCATGCGATGCGAATCTCTTGATAGAGGAGGAGCACGTTATTTCTATTTAGATATATGCAACTGTGTATGCAAATGCGGTTAAAATGTGTTATGCAAGCACATACATACTTGGTAGTAAGTAAGTAAGTATTGAGTAATAAGTTGTGCATGACGTATTGTAAATAGCTGTATAGAATTTAATTTGGCAATTTTGCGTCATATATAACAGGAAACATAATTTGGTACGGCTTGTTTGGTTTAGTCCTTATATTGTAATAATAATAATCATAATCATGATAACCACGCTAATAGACGAGCAATTCTACGTCATCCATCCAAACGTCGCTGCTCTCACACATAATCCAAACAAAATCTACGGAAATTAATAATCAGCAACATACGGAAACTTACTTAACAAGTGCACTAGCAACTAATCCTGCGAGGCTAGGCTGCGCTGTGCGGCTCATTCTACAATTACAAGAGGGCACAAAATTTTGTTTCATTGAACAGTGAAGAGACAACGACGACGAACGCAACGGAATAATAATCCATGGTTTTGTGTGCCAAGAAAAAAACTTTTGTTTATGGTAATTTGATTCTTGGAGTCGGAATGATTATTGGCCAAATTATATTTTTCTCTGTGCATGCTGGTTAATTTGAGAATGGGGATAGCAACTACAACTACTCGTATTAACTGTTGGAAAACCGGAAAATAATAATAATAAAAATCGGGACACTCTATATTGACAAGTGTTGTATCGGTAAATATATGTATGTTATAATAGGTAAGTCAATTTTGTCAGTCAGATTCATATAAGTAAGGTACATCTACATTTGTCCATCAGCTATAATAACAATGGCATAAAATGAACAGAAGCAAATAAATTAAACTATTATCATTATTATATTATGTAAAGAACGAATGGTTGTATAAACAAATAAAATAATACAACAAAATTAAGGAATCCGAGAACCAAAGATTGAGTTAACAGTTATAAACTATAAACATTAATTAGGTTAAAATTCGTAACACAACATTTCGATGTTGTTACTATTTAAAGTTTAACAGTCTTTAAATGACGGGGTCTACCTTGATGGTAACGCCTTGATGTTCTGCTCCTCCGCCTCCTGCTTCTTCCTCCTCCTCGTTCATCGTGGACAATCTCCGACTTTCTTCCTCCGTCAACGCATCCTTTTTATTCCCTCGTTTACGAGCACCTTTGTCCTTGCTAAACATCCAAGAACATAATTTACACACATATCGCACATAAAATTAATAAACCATATTTTAAATAGCCATAAACATGTAAAAAAATTATTAGGCCTAAAGATGCAGTAATTACCACTTTTCTTTGTTTTTTCCATCTTTCACAGGAGCTTCCTTAGCGTTCACATTGTTTACAGTCTTCCAAATCCCAGTTCTATTTACTTCTTCCGTAATGTTGACAGAGCTGACCGGAATTTTCATTACATTTCCATTTGCTAAATAAAAATATACGTAAATTATCATGAACTCCACTTTATGGTCTCATTAATAGATCAATGAATATTCTCAAGCTGTATGTTCTTACCTAACGGAATTGTAAAGTTCCCAGAGGAGTTGCCCCCGATATTTTTCTGTGAATAAGGAATTCGTAGCATTTAAAGAAAAATAAATTGTCTCAAAAATTTGAATTGGAAATTTGCACACTACTTACGGACATGGCTGTCCCATCTTCTTCCCAATCATCATCTTCTGCATGATCACGCCTGCTGGTTTCAGGCATCACGTCATCTAAAATCTTAAGCTCACGTTGGGAAAACACAAAGTCCAATAGCTTACGAACTACTATCATTACAACCAACTGAAAAAAGAATAAGATCGAATTTCAAGAACGGAATATGAATACTATAAAAGGATCATTGTTTTGCATACCATGAGAGGAAATAGGATCGAAGTCGATCTGAATGACTTGATGAGCCACAGCATAATCAAACATGCCAGTTGTATCATAGTAAACATGTGAACTGGTAAGGAAAAGAAAGTCAATTATACTAAAAATAATCATAGCTAAAAGTAGCTGAGTTTCCTTTTCATATTGTTCATGCTTACCTCGCATTAACGGGACCTGCAATACAAAGTATATATACATCAAAAATGAAGTAAGATAAAACTCGATATGGTTACAGTTTGTGACGTACCTGTCGTAAAAACATGTAGTCGGGTTGATATTTCGTTGGCATAAACATAATCAAGATTCGGTCAAAGAACTGTTGAAAAAACATGTAAAAAATATTAGCACTTAAAAATTACTCAATTTACATATGAACTGAATTACCTGCATCCCTTTCAGTGATGCAAAGCCCATGTAAAGGAAGACGCCATACAGTACTATAACATATTATGCATTCGTTAGTGGCTTATTGATTGAGAACAATTGATTAATTGATTGATTACCTGGCATTGGAATATGCTTCAAGAGGGGAGTAAGTAGTACGGAGAGCCCAATCATGAGAAAAATTGCCAAGTGGGTAACACGCTGTTCTCGAACACCCAAAAATTGAGGTTTCTCTCCAGGAGCGGCTGACTCGGACTCCATTTTTAGCGAGTTTACATGATTCATAGATAACACTGTGGCTGCCACAAACCTGAAAAAATTAAATTGTTGAAAATGATCATGCATAAGATTCCCCGATTAATATATTTAACAAGTGGTCACAAACCAAGGAATGCCCATGATGGAGCAAACGGCAATCAGAATTGACAGGACAAACAGATCCAAGTGATAACCGCATCCTTTCTGTAAATTTTTAAATTGGTTTAAACATTTGTATATGGAAATTGTAGAAGAACAGTGCCGAATTGTTACAAAATGATAATGCACACATTTTGAAACTTACATTGAGCTTGTGCTCCTTGCGGTTTATAATTACAGCTGTAATCTGTTGATCCATGAATATTAATATTGTAGCCAATAAAGCTGGTAATGGTGCAACAATAATCGTCCAGAATGGATTTCCACCAAAAGGATTAATAACCCATCCTCGAGTAGGAATAGTGGGTTCGAATCGTTCAGGTACTTGTAGTTTTGGAGTCCTTAATCCCATCCACATGTCAACAATGCTCATGCTTAAAATGGCAATGATAACTGCAAAATCACTTATCACCATTCGAACCTATAGTGATGAGTTAAAAATATTAGTGTGTATAGCACCAAATCTATACGCGCATATATGTACATATGTAAAACAATAACATTTACAACATACTTTAGTTGGGAAAAACGCTTGGGTCTTAAAATCCTTCAAGTGGATCGAGATTAAGAAGGTTCCAACAAATAGTAAGACCGATAGAAAGAAGACGTCCGGGTAATACCGACACCCTTCTCCAACAAGGATGCCTTGATACTGTACAAAATAATAGTGACTTTATTATATACGAACAATATATAAATATTTCATCAGTGTAACATTTCGCAAACCTTGCTAACGCATGAATCAAAAGGAATTTTCTCCCAGGTGGAATTATCAATATCATAAGTAATACTTTCGTTTTTAACACATTGGCAAAAGTATCCAGCCGTGGTGTCTGCATTATCATTCACAGGAAAGTTTTTCCCAATTTCTTTGACATTTTTCACCGCCTAAAAATTTCACGTCGTATTCAGAAACAAGTGCATGTATGCATATATTTAGTACCAGATCAGTGGCACAGTCCGACATACCTCAACCATAAAGATTAGAGCAATTAATGTTGCGAAATTCTCCTCCGTGAACCTAGTAATGTAGCAAACAAACGCACTGGCATCAAGTGCGACCAAGATGACCAAAATCACTGCCACCCACACGCCGATCCATAACCGAAACTCTAGATAATTGAGTTCGTGGCTCCTAAATAAGACGGGAATTATTATTATTGATTGGAAATGTGCATATATAAATATGTGTGAGGTTTCTTGTTTTTCCATACTCGCAAAACTGCATCAGAATGGATTCAAACACCAGGACAGGACCCGTGGAGCCAAGAATAGTAAGTGGTTGGCCGGAAAATAGTCCATATCCAATACCACATACAAATCCGGAGACAAGAGATTCAATCGCGGCCATGTTATTGTTTGTTGCTTTTCCGAGCAAGCCACCAAAAGTAATAATGGGTGTCAAGCAAGCAAAACTGAAAATTAAGGAATAAATGATTTAGAGTAGGATTATAAAAAATGTCATACTTTTAACAAATTATTATTCGAACAATTTTAATTCTAGTAAGAAAGTATGATGTTTGAAGTTTGAACGATGCAAGAAATTGGTAAAACTTACTATAAGAACAACCAACTAGCCAAGCATTGACTTGAGAGTGCATCTTTGAAATCTGACCAGTACCTACAATAAAATCAAGTTTTTTGTAAATTTATTTGAAATGTGGGTAGTTTAAAGAAATAACACGAAAAAGCACTACAGCTCATACGTACCAAGGAACTTTTCGTTTAATGTCGTTCATCAGACCTCCAAACAAGCGTCCCGTACGTGTCAGACCAGACTCAAACCTTAGTTTCTGTTCTTGTTCTTCCTCATTACACTCTTCTTTAGGTGCATCAGGTCGCTTTCTAGGATCCTAAGTTCCAATAAATATGATATCACTGATCCAGGTGCTCGGAGAAAAGACGGCTTAATAATGACGAATATATAAAAATGCTACCTGTGAAGGTACAGCTGCTGGAGGTTCAATTCGAATGCTTGGATCCCACTCTCCTGCAATATCAATTGTGCAATATTAAAACATGTTCAAATCTACTCGACCTATACCATTTTTTCAGCAGGTTCCCGAAGACGGCGATGGTGCATTATATGTATCTAGTGGGGGTTTACCGGACAACGAATTAGAATATTTACGAGGAACGTACTTCCCCATATGACAGTTGTGGTGGATAGCTTGGAGGACAGCATTCCTCCCCTCACGCTGATGGCAAGTTTCCCAGTCTCTGAAAAATTGGGCTCCTGGATGGTCAGAAATAGAACCCTTATCTCCTCACACTCAAACATGAGCGTCGGACGCTCTGATCGCGTCCTGGTTGTTTGGTTACTTGAGTAGCATCGTATCTCTCCTCCATAACCCATCTAGACTCCACCAAAGATAGATCTCGTCTCATTTTAAATAGCTTTCTTCGTTAGTATTGTTCAACACATTTTCGAACTCCCTCATCATCATGAGTAAAGTAGAAGAGGAACCAAGTCAAAAGCCGATAGCACATAAAGAGATCGACTTGACATTTTCGACCTCGGAAGATGATGAGACTGACTTTGAGGAGGTTGGAAGTGATCACGAAGAAGAGGAGGATCGTGGAAAAGTAAGTGGGTTATAGTTGTCGACTTATTTAAATTGACCAATATTATTAGTAATTATAAATGTAAATGTTGTGCATTATTTCAGGATGAATTAGCAATGCCTTCATCAAAACGAAGAAAATTAGTATTATCCGTTCCGGAAGAGCTAAGTCTGGAGGGTACAGAATTTTTTGCCCTGACATCGGAAGGCGAAACCGTGGCTTTAAGTAGAGGTATAGCGGCTTTAAATATTTATTTAATGTGAGGAAGTATGTCATAAATGAATATTTGCAGCTTCACCAATTGATGTATTATTGACACCAACGCCACAAGTTTCGACCCAACCTAAGACAATTCTAGGAGCAGTTTGTATGGGAATTTTCGCCACGTTGCAAGCAAAGCATCCCGTCGAGTTTGAAAACGTTACGTGGGACTCCATGCAATCGACCCCTGAGTTTGCGGATTTGATGACGGAATGGGAACGTTGGAGAACAAGTCATTCAGGGTGGACCGCAGCAAATCCAAACAATATCAACATTACACACAAAAATCAATTAGTAGGCGTCAGGTGGGAAAACGGGCGACTGTTCTTCAAAAAAAAGGAGAAAAGGGGTTCAGCTGGAAAATGTCCAGATTTAAGTGTTCAACAGTTAATTGCTGGTTATATTCAGCAGTAAGTATAAACAATTATAATTGATTAAATATATTACTTTGTATAAATAAATGAGCCAACCTATTTATGTATAGGGGAATGCTAATGATATGGTAGACCTATGTAATAAACACTCGCCCTTAAGAAGACAAACTCTCATCGTCAGGGATGTCATGAATATGGACGAAGTCGTGCTAATTGTTCTCTGGCCTGCTGTTGGTCCTATCCGGACCAATGACAATATAAATAAGTATATCAAGTCTAGAGGGGAATGGAAATCAGCTACTAGGAGACAAGCCCCTGGGGAAGGAATCATGAAGCGCAGACTTCATGATTATCTTCAAATTAGAAAGGATGCTCATTTCATCATTGAGGATGAATGGCTGGACCCCCCAGAACAGTCGGAAAAGAGATACCATACTGTTTCCGTAAGTACACAACAGCTAAAGCCATTTGTTATTGTTTTCGTAAATTTTATAAATTTTATTATAAATTTTATAAATTTTGTTTAGTTGACTTTATCGGTACTCGTCGCCCTGCACAATTCCCACCCAAATGCTCACACACTCATCCACATCAAACTCCTCAACCAGTGGATCCATACCTCATCAGCCAACCTCAGTATGTTCAAGCGTCATTTGGAGGAGAACAATAACACGTTTTCATCTGGGCCTTCAGCCACGACTAATGAGGCGATGTCACGATTCAGACCTTCCAACTTTGACTACACCTGTCCATACGTCTACTTCGCCCATCTACCCCCTACCGACAGCAATGTTAGTATTTGTTACGGGTTACGTTTGACCATTTCCAATTCAAAAACCAAAGCCAGTGGTCATCACTCCACATCCAAAAAGACGGCACTTACGTTGGACGGAACCAAATTACCCGACGAGAATACTCACGAGTTTTACCAAGCGTTCACAGGAACTAGTCGTGACTTGGAGAAGAAGGCGAGAGACGTGGAGATGATTGGTCACATAATTGTGCAGATAGAGAAAATGTTGGAAATGGATTTTAGAGGTATGAACTAATGAACAATGTACTAATTAGTCTCATAATTAGTGATCTAATGTAAAATATTTCATAATTAATTAACAGGGTCACCCATCAAACCTGCTGTAGTCAAGTACGAGCATTATGATGATGCATGGGATGATGAGATCGCAACGTATGCCTTCCAATGGAACACTCAGCACTTACTAGGAATTGAGCGGACCCCATTGGGGCTCGAAACTGTCACAGTTGAAATCGATAAGAAGAAAGTCAAGAAACAATACAACAAGTTGTTCTTATTGTGGAGCCCCGATATCTAACCAATTTGAATCCATTCTACCGAACTCATCAATTTTTTTAGCTCATAAACTTTCATACATAATTATTTATGTATCTACCATTTTTGATAAAAGTATAGCTTGTTGTTGTATTGCAATTTTTGTTACGAGTTGCACATTTGTTGTCTCGGAGGATTTGTAATATGTTTGATTGTAGAAATAATAAAATGAATTAACTTTATATTTACACATCCAAATCTAAGTTGTTGTTTTTGTCTAAATCAGGGCTTCTGGAATTATAATTTTTTGTTACAACTCACCTGGTGGCAAAACGGTCTAGAATAATATCAAATTAAATTTTTATGAGGCTTCGCCTACAATAGAAAAGCGAGTCTAAAAGTTAATAGCTTGCAGTTTCTTTTAATTAAATCTTACCACTGCATCCAAAAATTCGTCAACACCTGCCAAAAGATGACCCCTATTTCTGGCTTTGTATGCTACATCGTGAAAAACTTCGTCAGACATTAAAGTTGCCATTGCTCTCCCTACTTCATGGTATCGGCTAATCCCTCCCTGAGAGCAAAGGGAAAAGTACGAAAATTATTATTTGCACATGAAATGCTTTTTAGAGTACTATTTCAGAGTTTGATTTTACCATAGGCCCAAGTAAAACAAACAGGAAACGGGTTGGAACGGGGACTGAAAAAATGTCGATTATATTTAAAATCCAAAAAGACGGACTCAGCAGTTACACCCACCTTCAGTCAAATCTCCCAACAATACGGATTGGGAAAGGCGTATGAAGGCTGACAATGGCTTGTCCAAGAAATCAACTTCACCAACCAAGATGTTCGAAGCTGTAAGAGTAAGAACAATTTTAATACTTGCAGTAAAACGCGACATGTCTTAGACGTACCTTCAGCTCCTTGGGGAATTTTACGCATGAAATGAGCGTGTCCCTACGCAAATACAATTATGTACATATTTAATTTACCCCCATAAGTACAAACATAATGCTGACAGTAGTTATGTAATTATCAAAGGTCGAGCCGAGCATTACCTTAGACAGATGGGCATCTCCATTCTGCAAGTTTGAACCACTCTCGTTATTGTGTCCTAACGATCCTCCACTTGGGCTGCGATCCATTACAACACCGCTCGCACTTGTAGCGCTTTCAACGTGTGGAACATTAGTTGCACCTAAATTGTCATCATATTTTAGAAACAGTATTAGTAAAGGGTTTCATGGAACAAGCATCATTGCATTTAAATTAAAACACTAAATAAATAAATGCAGCAAATTTAACAACCAACAAACACAAAAACGTTAGATTAAATTCGAGGTTTCATCATATATTTCATGATGCGAAGACTAAACATGTAAATTAACTGAAATATAAAAGTCCGAATAAAATTACTTTCTCTTTTACACTATTTGCCAACTAACTTTATATTAAAAAGAAGCTCTCATCGGGTCACTCATATTTCATTTCACACATTGACATACTGTGCAATATAACCATTAGACAATTATTGTTATATTGGTGTAAATTCAGTCGTCGGTGTTGCTACATGGCAGAGATCCATGACCGACGACATGCTAATACCATTATTAAACACGTTCATTCTACGGTGGATGTGGGTGATACAAAGCTATCAATATTAATAAAAGCGCGTCTGGGAGCTAATGCAAGGTTCACACACATAAATCGTAGTTATTCGAAATTCTCATCCGTTCGCATCAAGGACGAGTTCAAAGGTTGACTAACAATAAGTAGGAACATCGTTATTGTTATACGTAGTATTTGTACATGTAAATATGCACGTAGTTAGGTAAATCTCACGCCAATCGGACCCAACGGTTTGTTTAATTAGTTATTTTTTTGTCAAACCCACTCAATTTTTTGCCGTCAGTTACCAGTGCCAGGGATAGACAGAAATCGTCCGAGAGGTTTATTTGGAAGCGACGAAGACAATAAGTCGGCTCCTGATGCACTATTGCTCCTTTCTCCTTTCAATCCTGTCAGCTCAACTAACAATACCATTCACCACAATTAATTATCTGTATAATCGTACTTGATCTCGAGGTTGATCACTGCATGGTTTCGGTACTTTCACTTACTCCGCTACTTTAATTTGTTTGTATTAGAGTTATCGGACAACATTACATGATTGTTTTAACGCAGATATAAAAAGCCTCGTCCAGGCCCGGCACGTGAGCACACTTCCTGATCCGGCCCGACTTTAATTTATTTATTGGAATGCAGAACGCACACTGATAAGCGCATACATAGAACTTTCTTCGTTGATGGGTTACGTAGATTTATCTCAGATATGGACAACTTGACCCAGATGTTTTCCAGCAATTAGAGCGAGCAAGTTATTCATTCATTGACGATTTACTTGAAAACGCAATAAACGCATTTTTGAAGCAAGTAATTACAATAAATCAAAATTTCCTCTGTAAACTCGTCTCTCGTATTTTCCATCTGCTTTAAGGTCCTCAAAGGAACGCCAATTAAGACTTATCTATGTAGGACTAAACCCAGCTAATACTTAAAATACAAGCTGTTTTCATATGCAATTTGAAAATACTCATCCTAAATACTTCAAAATTCATAATGCTATCGATATTGAAAAGCACGCAAACATTGAACATATATAGATACATAGGTACGTATGCATAACGGCATGACTCGTATGTTCAAGTAGCTATATGACTAAATTGCGAAAGTGTAAAACAGATGTACAATCTCATCGTTTCTACTTGTTTTTACAGGAACTGATCCTCACTACATATTTTAACTAAATGGCTATACCATAATACCATTTAGACTACAATTTGAAAAGTGGGTAAGCATGTGCGTAAACGTAAAATTACAACAACTATGCGAATTTAGATATGTAACGGATGAAGATATGAATACCTGGGACACTAAGAAATGGTCCTATTGTACTCGCATGAGGACTCGTGGTTGGACTCCCGTTCTTTGACTTATTATGCTTGTTATCCTTATCCTGAAAATCTGCCAACATTTGCAACAAGTGAACAACTGAATTGCACAAGCTAACAGCAACACTTCTAGTCTATGTAAACCTCTATATTTATGATCAACAACAACTATCTTCCTTTCACCAGTCTTCGAATTTCATCTCTTCGAGTGTCCGCTGTGAACTAATTGCACCAGGCAAATTCATACGTCAACTCCAGCATTTCATATACTTATCACATATAGCTGCGTTAATTTCGACATACACGGGGCGCAATACTTTTCGATTAAATAATCAATAATCGCAGTAAATTTTGCTCCAGACATTGACTCATGTTCATCCAGAAGGCATCCATGTAAACATTGTGTGTATTTATTATCAATCGAAATTAACTTACTTTTGCTGGAGGAATGACTTTTACCAATCTCAGCCAAGGAGCCTATATTCAAGCAACGAAATATGTTCAGTTCTTATGAACACACATAGATTTAATACGAAAATGGTATAGGTATCGTATACTCACGAATGATTGGAAGTCGGGACATGTTACTGGATGAACTGTTCGCACCGCTGTTTTTCCCCTTTTAAGATAAAAAACGACGAGGTTTGTAATTGTGTTATGCAGTTGCACAGTTGAATGAGGTACAGAATTTCAAAAAATATAAATACCTTTTCGTGCAAGTGGCGATGTCGACGGAGAAGGGCTTCTCGTACTTTCTCCCTCCCGGACGCCTCCAAATGCCCTGAGCTAATCATGTTATCCAAAATCAAGTCGGCTATCTGATCTAGCGACAGGGCCTCCATGTCCAGCATGACAATGTTGTTGAGCAGTAAACTATAATGCGTATGTAAACAGGCAACAAATGGTTTATAGGTTTTCTAAGAGCATAATGCACAAAGCTAACCCTGTGACATTGTTTGTATATATCAAAATAATTTTATGCTTTAGGTTGGGTCTACAAAATAAGCTAATCAAAGCATTTACCTTCGGAGCTCGAAGAGGGAATGAAGAGAAAGTGTCGCCACGTGTGGCTTGGACCACCGATTTCCCCCCTCTTCCACATCTTCCTCAAACTTTATCCATCTGAAATCATTGAAGAGCATAAGTGAACCAATCATTTCAATAGAGAATCATAATTATCAATTTGACAACAAGTCCAACTTAAGACGCTACGTGATTCTTGACAATTGGGACACAAAGATAGTATCATAAATACCTGGCAGTTTCTTTCCACTCCATTTCCCCTCCATCCTGAACGAGTTCTTCCATCTCAGAAAAGAGAGGATGAGATTCTACGCGTACAAAATTTAAAGTTAGCGTCTAATACGGCCACATAATTGAGAGTGCTAAGTAACTACTTCTTAGCAAGGTATTCATTATTACACATCAAAAGATGAATAATTAAAATTAGTGGTAAGAACATTACCGTGTGTGCCGTCATCTTCCTCCTCCCCCAAAATGAACTGAACCCGCTGGGCTGGAGGTGTGACTGAAATCATGGGATACACACTTTTTTAAAGTTTCAATTGGACACACTTTGGTAACAATTTATTAGCTCATGGGTATTAATTTTACTAAAAGGAAAACGTTGTAATGTTTAATATGATATCATTCTCCACGCCCAGCCAAGGGTGTGCAGGGTATATTAAAGCCTATGCAGATGGACACATATGTACATACATACGTACGTACGTACATACGTAGATCCGTTCCATGGAAGAACGAACCGAACCTATAATTGCATAAGGGCGACGGCAGGCAATGCGAAGGACACAAGAAAATATGATTGCGCAATAAACTAAAGGCAATTGAATTCCCAATATTTTTAATAGCTTTCTAGATAATTGCTCCCCAACGTCGTAGGATTAAGTATCTAGCGTTATTCTGTAATCGTGTCCAGTTCATGTTCATTTTTTACGAGACGACTTTCTCCACAAACGTAGTGGCTCCTCTGAGAAATAGTCAGTAGTTTCGGTTATCGTTGTGCAAGTTGGTAATCCGATTACATTACACCAAGACCTCATTACCTTGGAATTATTAAACAAGCCTAGTGAGGCAAAGAGTGAAATTAAATTAAATCCAACAGGCGAATTGAAATTATTATAATTTAAAGTGAACATTACTTTTGCGAGTTTTTACGCGTAAAACATTATACATAAATGATGCATAAAATTAGGAGCTTTTATTAATCGACGGTAAAATAGTTGTTTCTTAAATGTTCAGACGAAAACTTAGACGACTAATTAATTAGTTAATTCTTTTTAAGACAGAAATTATTTTTAAAAAATTCACCGTTTGCATTCGGATATGTAACGAAGCATTTCACATTCGTCGTATAGTTTTGCTGCAATATCAAGGACAGTTGGATTGAAACCACTGTATGACAAAGAGCAATGTCGTTAAATTCAATCAACGACCATAAAAGTACAGTGTAAGCATTCAAAGTGAGAGGTTGTAAATGGAACATGCGTGCAGGGTAGTAAAACTAGAAACTATTTGCAACTCTACAGCTACAAGAAGCTAGAACTTGAAGATAAGTGAGTCAAAGCCATTGGTCAGTAAGCAACAAAGGATCAGCAAGAGCGAGACCAGGATCGGGCGGAAGGATAAGTCAAAGAAATGTCGAGAGAATGGAGAAGAAAGCGAGAAAAAGTGGTGGTGAGACAGTTCTTACTGTATGCTTGTCCATCTTCCTGCGAAATAGATAAGAGACGACCTCGGGGTCTCGGAGGTGCTTCCGCTAGCAAGATATGGGGAGGCGTTGTGAGAGCTTGTAAGTACAATCACAAAGAGACACTGTGAGCAACGGTCACATCAAATGTCACATCTCTAAGTATCTAAACTAAGGTAGAGGTACGCACCACCACCACACTACCACCCAATCCAGAATTGATTTTTTTTTCATTTTATTCTGTCAGTCATGTCACAGGTACAGTTGTAGCGATAGAAAGAGACAACAATAATAAGAAGAGTATACGCATTACACTACGACAAAGTGGACACATTATGTACTACATACTGGAGAAGAAAGTGAGATTTCTAGCGCACGCCACATATGCATTTATATACACACACGGGGACACAAAGCTGATTAATCCGTCATTCCTGACCGCATTATCGATAGATTCAATGTTTGAACCCGGAAAGGAACAAGTTTCTTTAGTTCGCTTATCTGAATCAGCAGGCCCAAATAACTATATAGGTTATGCATTTATTATTGGACGAGGACGATGATTTATGCACAGTTGAAATAATTTAGATGAGATCGTTATATTAGTATTTTAATACAAGTACATATGTTGTTAGAAGTCTACTGGAAAAGGGCAATTTTCCTCTGATTATTCTCGTCTTGAGTGGGAAAGATCCAGCGTCGTCAAATTTTTCAGCCCACATTGATCTATATCCGAGACAGCCTTAATAAGAGATCATTTGTCCTGATTACGGGGCACCCACGCGCAGCCCTCTTTGCCCACGGAATTATTGGCTATAATAATGCTTGGGCAGGAAACTCATTAAAATCTTTCCGAGCTACTTCTGTAGTTGGACATCGTTAGCTGTGATGGGAAGATAATACCACATGCTATACGTTCAGGAAGCAAACTCAACCCACGACATATTCTCAATGAGAATTTCTCATTAGTTCCCATTGGTAAACAGGTAGCATACAACTTTCCCTCGAGAAATTGATTCTCTGACATCAATGATGTCACATCATAAAATTCTATCTCACAAGAAACTGAGGTTGATGATTGAGATATCTTATACACAAGTTACTAGTCTAAATTTACTGGAAATAGTTGACAAATGTCAGCATACTTGAGTGGTTGGTGGATGATGCACGTATCTATTTTCGGGGGCCTTTCATCGAAATACCCAAACCCCAGAGTTTCTTCTCGTCTGTTCTGTCTTCCTTCCTTCCTTTCCTTCTTTCTCTCTTGCTTTCCATCGTCCTTGCCAAGACTTGGAGGGTCATATCGATCTACTCGGTTCACATCAGACCACCAACGCAGCCAACCATCTACCAACCATTCTCTATTCTTAAGACTAGTCGCAGAAGTTTTTTATACGTGAACTGGATACGTGTACAACGTCATCGGATGATGCCTTGGGTTTCTCGCTAAACAAACCTTAATAACCAAAGAAAATGCCTCCTCGCTCCACTTTTTAGACCATCAATCCAATTTTCTTTCTTTCACTACGTATTTGATCACATTATATTCGACAGTCTCAAGTACCGATTTAGCACTCCGCTGATTCTAACAACGTCAATTTAAGTGGTTCGTCACATTATCCTCGTTGAGTGCTATCCAGGCAGGTCAAGCTCATCCTCAAAATGCGGATCGACCTGAATTAGATACGAGGAAATTCTAGAGGCCCGAAATTCCCGGCACACCAAGCAGTGTCTCCTCCAGAAATATGATAATTTAGAATCCTTGCTCCTCGTAATAGCGACGGATATGAAGAGAGAGAACGGAAAACTTTATGAGGTTTGCAGAATGCTATGCTTTCTTCCACTTTTTGCTCCGAGCCGAGCTTAATTGAGACTCTAAGCTAACAATCGATTACGGAAGCCGATTTAAAAAAATACTTACGTGGGCGGTCATCGTCCTTTTCATCCTTTCCAGTCCGATGGTGACGATGTCGTCGATGGTGAGAACGACGACGATGTCCACCTGGGCCCGTTTCTTGACCAGGAACGTGCACCCCTACGAAGACCGTGTGAGCTCGGTGACCTTGGAAGAATATTTTCAATTAAAACTTTATTTATAGCCACCAAATTACGACACATAACACGATTTCTCAGTAAAGTGTTAATAAGTTTTCATTGAATGGACGTTGCATAATCCTTCCAAAGAGTGCACGGAAAAGTGAAATCAGCTAGTCTGTAGCTGACTGACGGCTCAATTTTCACCGTTCATGACGCCCACTCTTTAGCCATTACATATGTGGTGTAAAGTGGAACGAAATAGATTTTGGGAACCATAATCACACAATTTCTGCTAGGAGTATAAATAAATTGGTATCATTAAAACTAGTTTTCCCCACCACACGGTGACATGGTTAACAGGCATTTCTCACAATTATTCATCACGTAATTTTTCGGGACAAGTGAAAAACAAATACGGAGTCTAATTCCAGCATTTATTTACAATGTGTTAAGAACCCAGAGGTGAGGAGTATTATAAAACAATTTTACCTATATTACTGTCGATAAAGACTACGCAAAAGTATGTCAGGCTGAATTGGACCTAATTTTACCCTCGCCAATTCCCTACGTCCTACCGTCACTACCACTAGTGAAGTGACACATGTTTCCACTTATCTGTATTCAACGAGTCCAGAGTAGAATAAAATAACCCTGGATAACCGTGCCAGTTGATTACAAAAGTCTGCTCAAATATTTGCCATTACTCAGAGTGCACACAACAGGGACCGGAATTAAACTCTAGAATACTATAGCTTCCACCGTGAAGTGCTTCATCAAATCTTGTATTTTATCCTTGAGCACGAAACTCAAATTCCGTGCATTTTATTTATTCAAGCCAACAGTTTTATGACGTTCAAATGAGATCACTTGTTTGATATACATAAGAAGAGAGTAAAGTTTTCAGATATGAGTTCTTCTGCCAACGGATGTTTGTATGGTTGGTACAATACGGCACCACAAAATAATTCGACGCTCAAAACATGATGACGTGCTATTACTTCAACGCAGTTTGTTTTCAACTTGCCCACAGTAAAGATTCGAGATGACAAAGAACAGTGATGTCGAACTCTTCCGCTGTTCGAATTATCTCACGATTCAAAGGTCGCCCATACTCAATGTGGCGGTGCGGTGATCATCTTGGAGCAGCATGACTTTTCTTATATAAACTGGTGACTAATCACAAGAAACTCCAACGCGTCGTCAAAGACAAACCTCCCACAATTTTTAAATCGAGGCCAAGTTACAAATGTTTTTACTCTTGAACTACATCTGTGCCATTTTTCACTCATGTTACAGCAGGGTTTCAGGGCAAAGAAACTTCCCATTAACAAGGCAATAATGACAACATGGCAGCTAAATACATATACATGTACGAATCTACTGCGTATGCAATTAGACTACGTATATCTCCTAGCTCGAAATTCCTGTGATTATTTTTGGGTGAAGATTTGTTTTCTCAAACACTTTTCGCTTTTCACAATCACATCCGTGTGCCTTGGAGGCTACTCAAAAATGTAAAAAAAACTGATTACAACCTCGCCTTTGTTTATGCGGGTGCCATGAGTGAGAAAAGCTTTATACAACCCAGAACAAATTCTCAATAATCCATCTGCACTCATTTCCCTCAACTCTGGCATCTACCATGACACGTTTTTGCGACTGAGGGAATTTAGCTTAATTGAATTGATAGCATTGATTCAATACTAAACTCCAGTTGATATTACAGCCCTCTTGAAATTGGGTTTGAGGAGATGACGGAGATGAAAAGAAATTCTAAAGAAATTTGGTAAAGAACAGGAAAGATGGTTCTCTAGCACTCTACGTAATGAAGTAGGCCGAATGGACGATACATTTTAGTTGGGCTGAGTTGGGGTTCTGAAACAAAGTTGGTTTCTAAACTTTTGGGTCTTTTCGGAGTAACTACTATTCAATTAGGAACAAAGGAAGGCTTCATTTCCGGATGAATATCAATGGTGTTGATATGCTTACTGTCAAAGTCCTTTTCGGAGAAATTCTGCAAAGTTGCCTGGGCACCCGGGTCTTTTGGGGCTTCTTCATCCGTAGGTTGTCGCTCCATCACCCACGGTCTGCAAATGCCAACAATAATATAATTCAGTGAATGCGTCTTGAATGTAGTATCAGATTTACCCAGCTTATAACTAAACAACTAGCTAAAGATTTCGGATTTGACGATAGGATAACACGTCACGAATGACTCACTCATGGTAAATTGTAATTAATGGAATTAAGTGATGTGTCAACAGCCATTTTATCCTTAATTCAATTGAATATTTAAGCAGGCACTTGCAAAACTTGTTGAGAATATTATTTTAGAGGCAACATGATGGGTTTGCAGATGTAGTACAAGCTTTTCCATTTAGGATTATGAGAAAACGAGGTTAACACTTTTGTCAAAATGCCCTACAAACAAGTAAATGCTCGTATGCGTTATTATTAGTAAGCCACGACAGTTACATATGAGCAGTGAACACCACTACCTTTATTGAAATGCAAAGGTGTTGAGCGTGTAATAACGCGCAGGACATACAAATACATAAATCTAGAGCATAAATATTCAAACTGTGCTCGAAATAACTCCTCCACACTCGAAAAGAATAAAATTAATGATTCATGAATAGTATTATTCATGATTATTGCGATTGTTATATGCAAAACCTACAGCGTACAGCCAAAATAATTATGCGACCAACTCGTCGATTTCCAAAGAACAATTGAATGTGAAGAATCAATTAATAATTGTGCTTCTAAAAAATATCATGCATTTTCCACTTCGTTGAACCCCGAACTATTTCATTTTCTTTGATAACATGATAGCCAACAAAAGTTGCACAAAGTAACAAGAAACCTACTTAAATAACATTATTCATGACGTCTATAAGCGCAGGTACATTTTATTCAGATCAACTTGGACTTGGCAAACTGGGAAGCAACGCCGTCAGAGTTTCGAATCCACAAAATTGAGCAAAATAGTTGAGATTCGTCCCCAGAATATCAAAGGTGAAAGAGATAAGGGAGACATGGCTTGCAACACGTACACAATTTGAACGCCCTAACGCTCGTTTTGGGTTCGTCTGTACGGGTGACGAAACTCGAACACATACAATAAAACCAAGATAAACGGATTGCACTCGTTACAAATGCAGAAAAGATGTCGCAAGGATCACATTCGCAACCGTTTTTCCAGTGTTGAAAAGCAGACACCACAATATCCACTACATGTACTATTTTACTATACATATACTGAATTGTGTAATTTAGAACGATGGAGTTTAACAGGAATTTACCAGAACTGGCCAAATACTTCAGAATCAAATTGCAAATTGCAATTACAGATAAATGTAACTAAATTATATTTTTTTAGTTGGTAATTTGGCCAGGTCTGGAATTTACCAGCATTTGTTCAAGATTTTGTCCTGTGTCATCACAATAAAAATCGAATTACACAGTATGTGCAAATATAAATATAAATGTTTAGAAGGAATAAATTTGCTTTCACTTTCACTTACTTTTTAAATAACTGGGGTTAATTTCTACACGAACAACTCCAATTCAGGAGCAACAATGAAATTCAACTAACGGGTGCAATTAAACTCAGATTGGTCTGAATGACACACCGGCTCCATGCAAAGTCAAACGTGACTCAAGAAGATTCGTCTGTATTTTGTGTGGTAAGTTCTTACTGAGGAACTGATCTCCATTAATTTATTAACAAACTGCAACTTGCAATGAGGAACAGAAACAAGATATTCATTCCAAGGAGTATGAACCATCCGGGCGGCGTGTAGTCACATTTCCACTAAATTCGCAAACTCAACACACAGCATATCCAGAACTATCTGGATACAAATGGCGGTGTCAGCGGTAACAATAAGAAATGTGCAAAAAATAACCTTCCTCAAGAAAGAGTTAGATACAGCGTGGTCCTCATGTTGTCTCACCTCCCCTCGTGCTTTATAATGGCAGTTCGCCACATTTTGCAGGATGATGTATGATGTTGAATAGACACTAAATCGTGAAAAGCTGTGGATGGAAATATAAAATAAAAATAAATGTACCATGCGTTACAGTTTAGACTAAAACTAAATATAAATTGCAAAGTGTACACGAATTATGAGACACATTTTTTGTCCATCTGCACGCTCATGCTAATACATGTAGATTGCACGTTTATCCGTCTATAAACCTATAATTTATGGACAGTAGAATACTTTAAAACCTCGTAACACTTGGACAGCGGTAAATGGATTTCAAACATGCACAGCTCTTTATTCGTACAAAACATCCAAGCTTTCGCACGCTTCTTTTGTGGGTATTTGGAGGAAGGCTTTCAATATCAATTGCGTTCTGTTGTTTGCTTGCCATTCATTTTCCGAGTAACATCAAATCTCAAATAGACACACTCTGGCCAACACTACAAAGCATCGAGTTACTTGTATTCTCATATATTAATAAACAAATATGTATATTAAATACATGTTATGACAGTTTTAATCTATTCCTATTGCTGAAAAAACATGCATATTAGCAATCACGTTCAATGTAAAACATGAATTACTAACCAGATTAGGACGTAACTGCGAGAAATGTGACAAAAAAATTGGTTTCGCCAAAATTGTTGACTTTGTGTGAATATACTTCGTTGATGGGAAGCTAGTGTTGAATGTTGGTTGTGACGATAGTTATAAATAGTTGGGTTGGCATTGATTTTTTATTCACACTTTTTTCTACAGTTTCATTCAACAATTTTCTTCTGCAAAAGTTGAGCAGATGAAGCCTCTGCAATATCCAGCTTGATATGAGACAAAGATTTGATGATGATGATGAACGAATTGCAAATTGTAATGGGGTCGTTGCTCACTGTGAATTAAAACATAACCACCGCACAATAACCTTAGAATAAACTAATGTTATCGTCCTCTATGGAGTCTTCTTCACTGATAAAGCTGACGAAGGATAAATCATCCGAACTTCCTCTCCCACCAAATATATTTCTGATTGAATTGCTCTTTATCACTTTGTGAGTGGTTGATGTGGATGACTGGAAAACACAGGACTGAACCCTCTTGTGATAAGCCGTTGTGGATTTCTTTGGAATTTTGAACGTGAAATAATTACTATTGATTCTACTAAAACCCATCGTATTGTCGAATTACTTTTCTAGGAATTGCTCTACATATCTATCAAAGGAAGGAATACTTCAAATACAAGTTAAATCGTTTTCTTAAGATGAAGAATATGTAAATTATGTTCTTCTTTCTAAAATTAATTAGGTATGCAAAGTTATCTGACCACAATGACAACGTGGGCAAGAAATTACATCAAAACGAGTGGAAGCGTTTTATTAAACTGACAGCGTCTGGCAAGAAATTCCAAGACTATGAGAGCATCTCTGTCCCCACACATACAACTGACTGGTCTAGCCTTCGTTGGCAGTTCTACATACACCGGTTGGATTCTTCTCAGGCAAAGATCTTCTTAGGATTCGACCAAGACACACACAGGTCCAAGGCGTATCAAAAGAGAGGAGGCAAAAGATGCAACAGAGAAAAAAACAGAAAATTTCACAAGTTGTTGTTTCCTCAATGTTCTTCAAAGCAGCACTGCTGTGAGCACTTCCAACTCTTCAGTATAATTTTTTCTGCTGTCTCAGAAAAGTGCCTACGTGCGGGTGAGAAGGTTTCCCCCTTCAAACTGAACCACCTTTCGATTTACACTGGCGGATGCAGGCTCGACTTTAACAAACACAAATTACGCTTGGGGTTATCTTTCGCAGCCGAATTTAATCTAGTAGCTCGCTGTGTACTTGGCACTGGCTGGCTGAACGCAGCGTAATAATAAGTGAGACAAGTTCTCTTCCCTCCAACGTTCGTAATAAACTGTGTTGTGATCACTCAACAACAGTGCATAATCACAGTCAGCGTACTTCTTCCATGTAATAAACAAGAGGCAGTAGAGATTTGAATTTAATCACCCACAGTAGTTCAACTCTAGTATGGATCCGATGATCTTTTTATCGGGTAAGGAGCCCCCATCATCATTAAGTGAATGAATGAATGAATCTCGGTCTTACTTATCAGCAGCAAGAGCAGTGCTGCTGAATGAACCTCCTCTTCCTGTCCTTCAGACACTTTTCCAAAGCATGCATGAATGTATATGGTATAGTGATTTGCTTCCTGGTGATATATTTTGCTGCAGCCAGCAGACGGCGAGATCAACTAACCTCCTACAATCCGACAAACCAAAATACGGAGCATGCACGGAACCAGACGAAGTTTGCAATGTTATTGCTCACTCGCGCCTCCTCGGCCTTCTACTTGTTCGAGAATGAAGTTGGAAACCCGCTGGAGAAAGCGGATGGAATTTCTCGGAGCGATGCGCACAAGCAGGACTACTGCATTCTCGAAATATTCACCCGGGCCGGGTTCACGGCGTGGACGACCACTCACACAGCATGAGAAAGTTTGCATGCATGCATTTCTTCTCGAAACCCAGTTTTGCGTCAATCCCGTCGAATGTTCTATTCCACCATCTCCGTGTGTAACAAAACCGGTGCAATTCCATGGTATACCTCCTACATCCACCAACTTGCCAGACATTGAGACTGACCCATATCATCCACTATATGAAATCCTTCCACTTTTCTCACCCAAAGCTCGCGTAACAAAATGAACCTTGAGTTGAATGTGACGAGAAAGAAGGAATGAGAAGAAGGTTACTCGGGACAATGAAATTCGATGGAAGCCTTATTAGTTAGTCAACTAGGTAGGAAAAGGTGTCTCTCAGTCAATCCAGAGACATGAAAATGGTTCGCAAACCTGACAAACAACGTCTTCATTACTTAATTATAATTTTACTTGCACCAAGAAGAAATAATATTGCACATGTTGGCTTAACAAAAGTATATGCATGTACAGAAGTATGTAGGCGTGACGTTAGCGCAATAAAACGCCAGTAATTGGAACTTCCAATTTGGAAGTCAACGAAGGAATATGAAACCATCCTGAATTAGCCAAGTCACATGCGTATCAAATTAAATAAATGCTACGCAATATGTAAAATATGTGGCAGTTTGGTAATAGATAGTGGGTCGGGAAATAATAGTGTTTTTCCAAGTTTGACTGGATTACCATACGAATGAAGAAATGGACAAACTGAATCGAATGTCAGCCGATAAGAACGTGTTCGCGAGTCAAAGTGAAAGTCAGTACTCGGCCTCCCATCTACTGAACACCCGCGCAATCGATCTAGTTTCTACCATTTCCGGTATCTAGAGTAGATGCATGAGTAAGTGCATTCTCTAAGCTTCAGATATGCAGTCTCGCAAAAAAGATCTCTGCAATTTAGTTTAATACACAGAGACGTAATTTCTGTTAGAATGGGGTGTGTAACTTACGAACACTTGGCCAATTTGCTTCCAAAACTTTCACCCAGAATCAAACCGTTGGATGGGAATGATTGGGTGGTATGCAAACTGGCGTCTGAACTTCCTCCACTGCTGCAACTGCCATCATTGTTGTTTATACTGCAACCCTTAGGTTTACAGGTTTCTTTAGCGATGGAAAGTTCCATGAGTTTGGGGCTACCACCATTTTCAGACGACATTGAATAACTGAAACTTCTTATTATTTGTACGGAAGTATATGTACAAGTTCACTAAAATGTAGATACGCACTTCGTATGTGAACGACAATAATATGGCACATATAACGCGTACGTCGGTATGCGTATGAGTCACAAATGATTCAAATTTTCGTTGATTTCTTAAGTTTCGAGTCATGCACACTTATCAGCAGCTTAAGCACATGAGTTACAAACAAACCAAATAATAGTCTAGAACTATATATTTACTTGTACATATATGTATTATAGTTTTATACTATCCTTCATTATGAGTCATTTGCACAGTCACATTGAAAATGTTCTCCCACTGGAAAACCACCGAACCACAATAATCAATAAAATCAATGTTGATCTCAATCTCAGATTTAAGGCAGTTAAATTCACGGTTTAAAGCTTTGGTACGAGCATTGCTCACGCCTATCAATTACACGCACCGACGTAGGAGCGCAAAGATGAACTTAATTGTGTCCTTAAAAAAACAGCGTGTGGTTCTTGACATCCGTAAGATGGAAAGAATAATGATACATAATCCCATCGCCATAGAACGTTAAGCAGGCATGAAATATCAGAGTCAGTTCAGTGCCACTACTTTTGCATCAAATAAGTTGACTGGACTAGCCGAAATCATAATATGTAAACCGTGCATGTAGACACAATAATGTGGAGATGTGACTGATGTGAGTAAACTTTACAAAGATACAGCTTGTTCGTAGAACAACAGTATTATTTCTGCATGTGGACGTATGTGAACTCTGGAGGGTTCGTCGGAAGATGAAATTGTTCTGCAATCAAATTTCTGATCTTCACATGAGCAATAATCCTGTTACCACTTTTCATCAGAACAACGAACAAATGCTGGAGACTGGTCAGCTAAATACTTGATGGGCACAGGGAGCAGCTTAATACTGGAGGAGACATATGCATATATATAACATGGAACTTGCTTAAATACTACTTAACAGGTGAATAACTCATCTCACTAGAACCTATGGCGAGCAAATTGGAGTTCATTTACACGGATGCAGCAACGTGAAATCCAGGACGTACAATGAACCAAGTTCTTTTACTTATGAAGAATTAGGATGTTGAAGAAACGACTACTTTACGACATTATTAGCCTCAACAGGTTATAAATTATATATAGCTCAAAGAGTCATTGCACCATGTTCTTGGTTTTTTTTAAAAATATTTATAGCTGCAGTTGCAGAAGCGAGTCGCAAATTAATATTAAGCTATGCAATTTGCCTTAATTAAAAGTCTACATACCGCACGATAATATTTGCTAAAGTGCTTAGCGAATAGGACAAAGAACTGTTAACTCGTCTTGAGATTGATTTTCATGAAAAAAAATGTACAGATTCTGACCAGTACGCAGAGTCTTAAGTGCATGAACCCGTTGATCCTGATTCTGATGAAAATCCGAGGAGGTGGAGCGAAAATGTGCAACTTATGCAATGCGAAATAACTGAGAGTGCATGCTTGCAAATCGTGCTCACTTATTTTCTGCAGTTGACCATTGAAAGCATCAAAATTGGCTTTTCCTCCAGCATTAATTCTCGTCCTTCTTGAAAGCTACAACCCTCCTACAAATTTGCACATTTTAAAATCTAATAACCATAAAGATTTCGCAAACTTCAACAGCTTTATGGTGTGCAATGACGTCCATCGAAATCATTAGCATACTGAAAAAAACTTGATAGGTTCAAGCAATCATCAGACATAATACATCTACCGTTCCAAATACGCACCATTCTTTGTACCAAAGTATTAGCATAAAACCAAAGATTATACCAAGCGGTTCTATCGAGCGGTCTATAAACGAACATCACGACGAGCCGTCTTAAATAAAAATCTTTTACTTTACAACTTTTGCGTAATTGTACGTTATTGCATGCAAATCACAGATCATGGATTCTCAATTTCCATCCGTCCACAACATAAATTTCACACTTTAAGCTGATGGGCAGTGTTTTAAAAAATATCCAGGAGGTGAAGTGATTAATGATGAGCAAGAAAAAAAACGAGAACTGGTTATTACGTAGAATCTCATTGCTTTTGTTTTCAGGTTTAGTTCCACAGTTCTTTGCAGGACTCGACTACCTGTTCTTCGGCCTGCACGTACACCGGGATCAAAGGTGGGTGTGTGGAATAATCTCATATTCGCAAACATATATTTGTACATACAGAGAATAGCAAGGGTATTATTATTACAAAAGTTTTACATAAGACATAATAAATATAATATGTAGATGATGATACCCTTGTTGTTGTCAAAGGACTTGTGTCGAGAACAAATTCACAAAGGTATCACATGTTGTGAAGTTTCAATTTCAATGATTTTAATGATGGAGTGTGCAACCAACGTGCACAACTCGAACCAAATGAGCTCCAATGAAATCCAAAATGAAAATGCTTACAAATTTAACTCACATTCAATCCCACGTGCATACATACTTCAATATATTTATAAGGATGGACACGGAGTAGAATGGTAAATAGGTCGGAGAAATTGAATGTATGAAAATATGACAATAATTCACCTCTTTCAAAGTAAATATTCCCTGCTTTGTATTGCTCTCGAATTCAGACTATTATATGCTTATCAAAAGTTTGTTTGTCCCACCCAAGGACCTCCAATATGCAATTGATACAACTGAAATACAGGGCGAACGAAATGAACAAAAGAAAGCAACTTACAAGTGGTGGTGATCGCATATTGTAATCGACGGGGGCGATACGATCACCTTCACGCCTGCGGTATTGTTATTCTTCCCCAGCTTGAACGATTTTGAGTTCCAAACAATCGGACACTTGACCACTGGCGTTGCAAATTGTGCAAGTGGACAATTGTGGCGACGTGACTACTGCCTCCGAGTCAACTGCCCACACTGGGCAACAACCAGCAAATGTTTTTTGTCGTCCTTGATCACATATTTGCCCTTGAGTCTCCGGAGAGTAATAGTGCAAAATTACTTGTGAGCACGACTCACTCGATAATGATGATACAAAACAAAACACCCAACAGTCTCCCTCAAAGTTGGGACAAAAATAGCTTGATTGAATCCAACCTTCTGTAGGAACACTGCTATAATGACATGATCTTATTTCGTCCCTTGGCAGGATTCACTCTGGCTGGTAAGTTCGGTCAGTGTTTAGTTGGACATTCTTGACGACGACCTTTTGTTGGTGGCCATTTGAATGTGTTAAATTAAATGCCCACCAGGAGCGAGATAGCGAGATTGTGGCATGAGCAATCTTGGTGCAAAGAACCTTTGCTGCTGAGGGAGAGAGAGAAAAGTCAGTTGTGGTTTGCTTTCCCTTCTTCCCAACGACTTTCACTCAGGTGCTCACCAACGGTTGGCAAGATGAGACAGAGTTTCAATCACGGAACTGGCTAAGATCCCGTCTCAAAGTCTGTTTACCCAGTTGGATGACTTAGAATGAAGGATATTGATGACGCGTGGAGGCTGCTGTGAGGGAATGTGAATTGTAGGAAAATAGAAAGCACAGCAGCAACTATTCAGTAAACGTAGTCATCCAAATTCATCCAATAATATTCCACTTC